TCTATGATCTGTAGGTAGTAATAATAGAGCGGAGTGGTAAAATGGAACGCAATATTGTGGTTTTTTTAAAAACGTTCTTTAATTTTAAATACTTCTAAATCCAAGGTAGGTAACAAAGCTTAAAAGTGAGTGAATGTGTGTGTACGTTTAGTAACACGCAGCCACTGTAGCTACATGTACTTCAAGTCCACATACACATGTACATGTACATGTAACGTTACAAGTATGTGCACATGCCTGTATGTGCCAGCAAAAGTTTGAATGTGGAGTGAACTAGGATGTACTACCACACCACCCTCCTCCAAAGAGGTCCTACCCCCGTTTCTCACCATGCTAAGCTACAGCACTATTAAGATACATGTACATGTATGTAGTGTTGTCTCATTGTCATACGGATGCCCTCCTCCTGGGGAAAAGGTGGACGTCGTATCATCACCAAATTCTCACCTCTTCTTTGAGCTCAATGTCAAATATATGAAGGGCTCCTATTCAAAACGAGATCCATTTTGTGGAAATTTCAGGAAGTGCATTTTTCATTTTCTTTTTCAGTCTGCACTGCAGCATCAGTGACTTTTATCGCGTTTTGAAGAAGAACACAAACTAACGTGTTACTTCAGGCATCATTTTGACTGGGTGTACATGTTACTAGTAGTAACTACCAAAGCTCACACATGTTCCGAGGGCTCCAATTCAAAACGCGATAAAGACCAAACCGGAGCTTTTGCGCTTTTTTGTTGCGAAAGAATTCATTTTCACCCCACGGACGTCCATGTGTCGGTTTTACAGGTCAAAACGCGATACTAGTACATCCCAGTCAAAATGATGCCTGAAGTTTGTGTTCTTCTTCAAAACGCGATGAAAGTCACTGATGCTGCAGTGCAGACTGAAAAAGAAAAAAAATGAAAAATGCTCTTCCTGAAATTTCCGCAAAATGTACTAGTATCGTGTTTTGACCCGTAAAACCGACACATGGACGTCCGTGGCGTGAAAACGAATTCTTTCGTGACAAAAAAGCGCAAAAGCTCCGGTTTGGTCTTTATCGCGTTTTGAATTGGAGCCCTCGGAACATGTGTGAGCTTTGGTAGTAACATGTACATGTATATGTACTTGTAGTTCATAGCTATGCAGGCCATGCACGACCTGTGCAGTGTGCTTTTTTCTTGAAGAGATTGTGAGTAACACGTTATCAATGAAGTTGTGAACGGTACCATTTGGCTGTTCAATAATGCAAAAAAATGAAAGAGGAGGTGAGATTGTTGAGATTGCGAGTAATCATTTTAGTGTTTACTATACCGTGCTTGTACAGCAGGTGGTAATGCGAACGTGTGAGCTTACCTTACTTTATGGTTTATACCGTATCCCACACAATGTGACAGCTGCCATTCTGCACAGCATACAGGTCAGTAGTCACGGTTGTAGGATTGCCAGCTCAGTGTTGGACGCATCATAACCCGTGTATGTCATGGATGACACGAAATCCATAAGGTTGACAAGCTCGGACTGTGAAATCATTTTTTTGGCGTGCATGCTTCCGTGGATCACTGCATAGCCACCAGGATGCTAACAGTTTTGCTGGGCCGGCGGATGACATGTCTGAGTTGAAGTTCAGTGGTAACGAATTCGCGCTAACTCAGAACGGCACAGTGTGTCATGTTCATGCACATCAGTACAGTGGTGTGTGGCTCATACTTTCCGGAAACAATGTCATCATTTTTATCCTTGAATGCTGCTTTACATAATAATTTAAAAGTACAGTTGTGGCAAGTGAAATCCAACACTTGGCATAAGGGACTGCACCACGCAGTCTGCAGCCCTGCGTACATACAGTACATGTGTTACATACAACTAACGTGTTACTTTATCTGTCTCATGACAAAACTCGTACTCATAACACAGTCAAAGTTCAAAAGGTGCTGGCAAAAATGAATGTGGACTGGATACCAATACTCCTTATGTGTACTATGTTTGTGAACTGTGTGTATCTACACTGTGACCTTTCGATCTGTTTGGGATGCATACGGCTCTATAGTACAAATTTGGTGCAGTGCGTTACATCATTGATGTCCATTTGTGGCGCTGTCCCCTATGGCAAGTGTCGGATTTCACTTGCCACAACTGTACATGTATGTCATATTCAGTTGTCGTAATGCCACTACTGCGAGTGCAATACATGTAGCTGCCAAACAGCTCGATCTTCCGGCCTGTCCGTATGGTGGTGGTGTACAAGTGTGTACAACTTACAAGTGTGTGTGTGTGTGTGCGCACGCGTGTGTATGTGTGTGTGTGTGTGTGTGTGTGTGTGTGTGTGTGTGTGTGTGTTTCTTAGGCGAGACCAAAATAAAATCGAGATTCCCGGGCAGGACCCATGTGAAATTGGTGCGGACGGGCGAATTTTATTTTATATATTTTTCCCATGTATGTACATGACTATAATGTGCATGCCATGTTGAACTTTTTTTACAGCATTTTCCGGTAATTTTTATTCATTTTTTTACAGACAACAGGTACGCGGTTTACCCGTTCAACTTTTCTATATTTCGGCCAACGATGGCCGTGATCTGTACATCAGGGAGCCGTACAAGCTCGGGTTTTTGTGACTCCACGTCACAGATCTACTCACACGAACAGTACTGTACATGTATGAACTGTTAAAAAAAAATTGGTTTTGGCTTGATTTTGGTGCGGGAGGGCCCGGGAATCTCTATTTTTTTTGGTCTCGCCTTATGGACTCACTGTAAGGTGCTGGCATCATCAGGGACATTGATGCTGGCCTTGCTGCCCAGGTTTGGTGTGCCAAAGCTGATAGGCAATGGGTTCACCGCATGTACATGTTGTTGTTGTTGTTGTTGTTGTTGTTGTTGTTGTTGTTGTTGTTGTTGTTGTTGTTGTTGTTGTTGTTGTTGTTGTTGTTTCAAATCTTTATTCTCAAGATAGCCAGTGGCTAAGAAGAGATAATAGTGTGAGAGAGGAGAAATAGTGAGGAAGAATTGGGTGGGCAGGGATAGTTGTTCCAAATCTTTATTCTCACGATAGCCAGTGGCCAATAATTGTTGTTGTTTTTGTTGTTGTTGTTGTTGTTGTCGTCGTCGTCGTTGTTGTTGTCGTCGTTGTTGAAGTTTATTTAACGTCGCACCACGAACAGCTGTGTCTGTTACTGAGTTTCAGGAGGCCATCATTATGATCATAACCAGTTGAGTAACAATGGGCAACGTTTTTGAAAACATCAACTCCTTCAGACACAGAAAGTCACATGTCATGTGAGGTTGGCCTATTGAGTATTGCACTATTGGGCTATTCACACCACTGCAGCACAATGCACGGTGCCAGCATGTCGATCATGATCCTAAAACAATCCTTCCTAGTTGTTCAGTCCTACTCTGTAACCCACCACGTGCAGTAGTTTCCCACAAGACGGTTTGATTCGTATAACCAACTCCGTTTTGATGACATGCAGACAGTGTGCCAGGTAGATCTACTACTAGGGGAAGGTGTCCTGCCAATCCTACATGTATGTCATGTGTTCTGTGACTGTACTTCATCGACCACAATGTCGTTTGCTGCTGCATAACACACAGGATCCAGGCAGATAGTAGAATAATACTGATACTAGTAGTGCCTCCTCGACCCGATCCGACTCGTTCATGCGCTAGTGATACTAACTAATAGTAATACTGTAGTTGTAGTGGGTGGCTCGACCCAGTGACCCCTGGACTGGTGGCGGTCGGCGGACTGAGCATCAGGTGTGCATGCCTTTGCTGTTGTAGTGACTGACAGTAGACCATGGCCCTTGGCTTTGGCCTTATTGCCATATTGGTAGACTAGTTCCAGGAGGAACTGACGCGTGGTCTTGTGTATCATGTAGTGGTCGATCATTGATATCACACACTGTGCAGGATCTGAAACATCTTTACAATCGTCTTTTGTCTGCATGCAGCATTCGTGTCATGACATCAGCGGTTTGTTCGTTCAATAAAATTGTATAAACACCTTTTATTTTTGTAGTAGCATGTAGCCTATACTGCCTTACTGGCTATAGCCTACAATGTAATAGAGTATAGGCTGTGTAGAGTCGGAGTATTACCTGCACATCATGTACTGTGTTTGTGTAGTGACACTGACAGTACAATGTAGTAGTGGGATTTGCCTTCACTGAAGTACACGACTTAGTGCAAACTAAGGGATTGACTACCTGAAGAAGGCCATTGGCCGAAACGTTGTATATATACCGGTAATGGAATGGTTCGGAAATTTGCAGAGTATTGTGGAATGGGTGAGGTCACCCAATTGTATCTAAGGGATAGCGGTTATGCAAAAGAAGTCATAGACTCAATCGTATTCATAATTTGGGAGTCCGGAACCGCTTGTGGGTGCTATGTACATGTACTAGGATACAGAGTGAGTCGCTAGTGAGTTGCTGGGGCGCATGGCGGTTCCGCGACTTTGCGGCTTGCCAAAACGCCTCACCTCAGACTAGTCATACTGATAGACTGTGATTATGAATCTGTAATACTAATACTAGTACAGTATGATACATAATAATACTTCGTCATAGTCGTAGATCGGCATGTACGTATGCCTACAAAGGCTACATGTTTGGTACAACACTGTTGACAGTCGACATGTCGTGCAGTAGAGAATCTCCCCGCCGCACATGACTGTGCACTCGTACACCATGTACCATGATGGACACGTACACTCAACTATCGCCAGTGCCAGGTCTTTGTCAGTTCTCCAGACATGTGTGCAGCCGTGCACCATATCCCCATGTGCACTGACATGACAGTCTGATGCACGACGCGACGATGATCGACGGGTACAGATCTGTCTGTACACTCGTCGCACGCAAGTAGCACGCAAGCGCTACGAGTCAGTCAAGTACAGTCGACGACTAGTCGGTCCATGCGGTACTACACTGTACACAGCCTAGCCGAGCCTTGTCCCCATGTTCACCAGCGTTCCGAGTGTGAGATTCTTGGGAGTGTGAGATTCTTGCTTCCTTGACTTGAGTTGTTTGATTCTCAAATCCACGACGCTGTAACAGCCGTGCTGGCCCAGTGTTGCGTAGATTAAATTTTGTAGTTGTAGTAGTGGCACATAGCCGTTACACTCGCACCAGAGCAGAGATAGTGACCAACTGTAGTGGATCTGTGTGGAGCGTCATTGCAAAAGTGTGTTCCTCTGGTTCTTCAATGAGTTGGTGTGCGCTGTTGTGCGCTGGACTTGTAACGATCGTGTGTTGGAGTGGTACCTGTAATCGTTGAGCAGATGGCGCTGCGAACAACCGGGACAGTACATTAGATCCAAAAAATATGTTCGCCGCCTGATTTCGTCCCGCTTGATCTCGTCTCGCACGACGAAGAGGCGCAGCGTTTAGAATGGAAATTGACAGCTTGATCGCCGACGCTGTCCTGGTGAAGGCGAGGAAGGAAGGTTTGTGCCCTGGTCATACCTCCCCGTAGCTGTGTGTCCGAATCCGTGTAGTACTTATATCGTTTGTCCGTGCTTCGTTGCTGGCTGGCTGCGTTGCCGCCCGTTGCTCCAACTTCTGTGTGTCACACAGGTGCGGAGAAAAGGGGCCGAAGCAGAAAGTGGCGAAAACTTGTCTTTTTGCCCAACATAGTGGAGTCTGCGCCCATTCGTTCTGGCTTGCGTGGTACGTTCTTTATCTCGTTCTGATCCGTTGTAGGTGTGTGCTAACATGTCATGCTGTGTAGGATCTAGGTAAACGAGTGTTGAGTGTTGCGCTGTTCTGCTTTTGGGTTCTGTTCGCACTGTCATGTTCAGAAGTCAGCTACAGGTATGTTGTCGATCGCCAGCCTATTGGGAAGAAACTCTTTGAGCGCTTCTGCTCGCGGGATCCTGTTTTGAATCGCACTGTGACCTTCCTAGCGAGAGTGGTGAGTGTACTCCTCCAGTTACCTAGCCTAGCGGAAGAGTTCTGTTGCACGTGTGTTGTTTGTTTGGCGGTAGTGCAGATGAGTATCGATGATGTGATGCTGGCCAATGCATGTGGAGAAGGGATTTTTATGTCCTCGTTGGGGCAGCGGTACGCAGGCATCCTGGCACGTTCCCTAGCAGCGGTGCAACTAGCGATTGAACTCTGTGCGGCTAGTGTTATCACCGATTGCAGTTTGGCGCTCCTTCCCATTCTTTATTTTTCGCTGTGTTTTGTCCAGGGTGAATACATTGTGGCAGTGAACGAAAAACGTGGTGAGCTGGCAGAGCTAGTTTTCCGAGATTTCCTCTCTGATCCTGAGGTGAGTGTGTTTTGTGAATTTTAGCGCTTGATTGTTGCCCGTCCGGCACAGTTGATCAGCAGTTGTAAATGAATGTGCTGCTTGTTCTACTTCTTCTGTAAAACGTGTATGGGGCTTGAGTCAAAGTGTCCTTTTGTTACTCTGTTGCTCTGGTTCTGATTCCTGCTGTGGTGCCACCAGTTTTGTGGTATGCTCACGCTTTTGCGAGGCGTTTTTCATGGGCTTTGCTGGCTCGTTGCATACATCTGGTAGCACGTGATCGGAAGTATCTAACAGCAGCATGTCCTACTGGCAGTACTGCATGTGACAAGACTAACATCATTGTACATCATGTACTACTAGTAGTAGTATCCAAGAATTCTCTGGTGTTGTGTTTAGTTGTTCACCTGCAACTGCTTGCTCCATTGGCATTGCCATTGGCACTGGTTCCTCACTCCAGTGACGAATGCCCATGTGCTGAGCAAATCTAAATCAGCCAAACTGTGCCCCCCTTTTCTTATTCAAGCTATGCACAAGCCTGAGGAAATGGAAAGGTATGGGAATTGAACTTTGGCAATGAGCATGCATAGTTGGGTTTCACCATGAGAAGAAAACCAATGAAGCGTAAATTTGCCACTGCTAATACTGCTAATACTATAATACTAAGAAGAAGGACACACTTCAGGCTCTTCAACCACATCTTGAAAGTTTTCACTAGTAGTATACTTTCAAGCCTTACCGTCAGGTGAAATACAGGCAAAATCAAATGAACAAGGACAATGGATTAAGTACAACAGAGAGGTGATAGAAACAGCACATGGAAAACTAATAAAAAAAGCTAGTAATAATACATGTACTTGCCCTTGCAAGTAAAACTAAGTATGAATTTTGGGCCCCAGGCCCAGTAGTAATACTACCTCTTGTACTATTGAGGGGTCTAATTTGGTTTGCTCGTTTTTTTGTGCTGGTAACTTGTTGGTATCTTGGGTCATTATTAGATGTGTTTTGATTGTTGTTTTAGAACATTGTGCAAGGTGTCAGTGCTGAGCAGGCGGAGGCAGTCCAGGCTAAAGTTTCCGACAGACCCTGCAGGGCGTCGCTGTTTGAGTATTGCCGGAGGTACGGCTATGTGTGTGCTCTCTCTCTCTCTCTCTCTCTCTCTCTCTCTCTCTCTCTCTCTCTCTCTCTCTCTCTCTCTCTCTCTCTCTCTCTCTCTCTCTCTCTCTCTCTCTCTCTCTCTGTTGCTGTCTATTCTGCTTCTACAGTACTGGTCAAGGAAATCCAACCTAGTGAATAAAGTAGCGCCGGGCGCTACCCAGCCCTAGCACTACAAACTCTGTTGCTGTGCACTCGAACGCGGTGCTACTTTACTCATGAGGTTGGATTTCTCTGGCCAGCAGCACTGTACGTAATGGGCATGCATGTATGTTCACCACGCCCCTGCAGATAGCTTTCTATCCAAGCAACCACACACCGCGTGCTTGTACGTGTGTGCTTCATGAAAATCATCGCATTCAGTTGTTTACCTATTCTATTACTTTGAAGTATACCTTTAACCCTTTGGAGCCCGTACAGTCAAAATGACGGTATACCGTCGATGGACTAAAACGTTTGTAACTCACTCGAATCTTGATGAATTTCCACGCTCGAACTATCTTGGAAGAAGCCGAAGAGCTCAGCATTCTAATGCAACAATCGCCGAAGACCTACGGTTTCACGTTGTAGAGATATCGTGCTTGACATTTCAGTCACGGCGAAAGTCGAACTCTTTTCTCAGTGACTGGCCTTGAGTGAGGGATTTCCCCTTGGATAACATGCTGATTCATCCAGGCATGGTTCCTGCAAGTGGCCAGCATATAACTAAACTCAGCGCAAAAAAATGAGCGTTCCGCGATGAATGAGAGTGAAATGGCTGGCGTCTAGGAAATTTGCTCGTATATCCAGCTCTGTGGACTGTTTGAGGCGCCATGGCATTGGATACCAGTATGTGACGGCTGTGGCGTCGAATTTGAGCTCTAGTTACTCTGCTCGCGGAGAGCTTTCCAGGAAGCCCAAGATTATGGAAATCTAATAACGAGCACCAAAAGTATGCCCAAAATAAGGTAAAGAATATATCGCAATTGCAGTTGCATACAATTATCAGGATTATTTGGGGTTCCAACGGGTTAATATATAATAGTGGCTATGGGGACATCCAGGCTTGCCGGTCGGGATTTTTTTCAAACGAAAAGTACTCGTATTTTTCAGCCCCATCCGTATTGATGTCAATCTTCGCCACAAAGTAGTACCTGGGCATTCTCCATCTGTGGTCAACTATTACAAGTATGTTCGAAACTAAAACTTCTAAAACCCACCCACCCCGAAACCCAAAAGATTCTCATTTTGAAAACTAATCGGTAACCTCGGACAGCCCCTTATACAGGTCAAGTAAGAAATCATGTGTGATTCCAGAAAAAAAACAATGCTCTGCAAGCTAAGTTTGGTCATAGACTACAGAGAACTCTGTGAGGCTTGGTGAGAAGTTGGTTAATTAATTTTTTCCCAGGAAGTCAAATTACGTTTGAGTATCCAAAGTAGACGAGCACTTAGTACTACTAGTACCTCTTCTTGTACAGGTATGATTTTTGCTTGCAGTTAGCTCACCACACAAAAAGATTAATGATTGCATTGTTGCATGTAACTTCAGTGTACAGACAGTTTTAACTAGGAGGCAGTTTAGCTCTTGGTACATCTGTGCTGATTAGCATAAGGCCGGTAGAAGATCTGGTGGCAGAGCAATCATAGTTTTCGTCGAATCACTGTACAGACATGAGACTGGGCGTACTTAATATTTTTCCTGTTTGTCTTCTATTTCCGTCGGTAGGGCTGCAAAAGAATTTCTTGCTGGTGAGCCTTTCCAAGGATTCTCTGAGAGTATATATTTCCAGCGGTACTTGCAGTTCAAATGGATGGAAAAGTAAGTGCAGTTTGATTACTTGAAATATACAGTAAAGCGTGCCCTAACCGGACGCCATTGGTGCTGCGGAAACTGTCCTAATATGACAGTATTCTGCTTGATCCAGTTGCAGTCCATTCAAAAAAGATGAACGTCTAGCTTTTGGCCTTAAACGGGTTGAACTTTGAGTTTTTAGAATTTTTTTGGCAGTCCCCTATGGAATGCTCCTCCAAAATGTTTCTGAAGTCTATTTCTCCAAAAGCAAACCGTAACAAGAATAGGATTTGGTTAGGTTTGTGGCTTTGAACCAGTCAGTCAAAGCATATCTGGGCAGACAATATGAGAGTATGAGACCATGCTACCCGAAACAGTGTGTGTTTCCAACCCAACTTGGCAAGTTATGCTTGATCCATGGTCGATTCAACACACAGTCACGATCAAGGCTGACCAGCAATGACATTATGTGAGCGTGCACAAATCGTTCCTGCCGCGAAGTTGACTGGTACAGGCGGTGGCGGTCCGGGAGCGAAATATGCATCGTTTCATGTTCTATTCCCTAGACGTTATAATAATGATAAATCGTATCCATTGCAGGATCTAAATGCCGTTGTTGTGCGAAGAGTGCATGCATGCTGAACTGTGGTAGTTCTTTTGAAAAAAATGTGTAGTTTGGGTATCCTAATCCCGGTTTGAGCGTATGCTTGGCGTCCATACAGAATTCTCGTGCAGGTTTACGCACAAATGTTTTTGAAATGCACTGTACAGTTTAGTACCAGCAAGAGTGCATAACGCCTAGTTCACATTCGACGGAACGCTGACGGTACGGGACGTAAGGGCCTGTCGGGAAGGCTGGGGTGAGCTGTAAAATCCTGTACGATTCGTACGTCACGACATGCCAGTCATAAGCCACGGTTCGTGACAGGGTGACTTTTGAACCTAATTTCTATTTTTTCGGGACTTCTTTTCAATTATTTCTCCTTGAATGAATCGAAATCAAGTTCACAATACCGGTTTTTCATGAACACCAAAAAAGTAGCTTCGAAAGGTGTTGCATTCAAATTATAGCTCCGGGAAATGATAAAACAGTTTGTCTGTCATGCTCCTGAACTATCCCTAAATACCATAAGTGACATCAGACCTTATATTGCTAAAATTCAACTCAAGTCGTGTTAGCCATTCTGCAAGTTATCATGGGAAGCGCAGTGTTCGAAATGCTAAAAATTTCCAAGTACGAATCGGGAGTAGTCGTGCACGACGCCGTCTCCTGTTCACACTCAAAATGCAGCTGTTTTGTACGCTTGCGTCCCCGTCTACGCCCGTCTATGGTATGAAAAGTTGGATCGGTCCAACTCTTCCTGTCGCTTCCCGATCCGTACGGCAGTGCGGTTGCGTTCCCGTTCCTGGTGTTCACATTGGACGCCGTCAGACTGTCCTGTCGATCCTGACGTTGCGTCCCGTCGCGCCCGTCAAGTGTGATTATTATTATTATTATACGCATTCCCGCGTTGAAGTGTAGCAGCAGTATGCTGCGTCCACAGCTTCGCTTATGCAGAATGGCTTGGGTGAGAGGAGAGGGGAGAGAAAGCAACAAGGCAACCAACATCTATGAAATTGGTCAAAATGACATGAAGAGAACCAACCTACATATGCATGATTGCACAAGAATGGAGACGACAAAATATAATGGCTATAATCATTGTGCCACAAAACCGGTACACAGGAGATCTGTCGACGATGTAACGAAACATAAAACTCAGTTACTCAATACAGGTTCCACTAAATTACAAGAGAACAGCGCTACAACGTTAGAATTGCTGCTAAATTATCGCAAGTGTAGAGAACGAGTCCAATACAAATGAAAACCATGAACAGACTGTCCCGAAGTTATTTTGGGAACAAATTGTACTACATGTACTTGCTGATACTGACGCTGACGGAACACGAATTTGAGTTGAATACTCACGAAGTCTTGTACACGTACATCATTATGCGCCGGTGTTGTGGAGTAAGCAGGTACGTCAGTCACCAATCCGGCTTCAGCTCCACGCTCGCTTCAGCAGAATGTTGCCCGCGTTTGCTTTGCCTCCACGCGGATAGACGACCAGCGCAGAGTCCCGCAGCTCCGTGGCCGTAAGGTCTTGTTATTCGCCGTTAGTGCCGTCAAGTCTTAGTCCACCTCTCACACCAAGCCGCCCTATGAAAATCTTTCTCTCTCCATTGGAGTGCTCCCCAGTTGCGCGAGGAGACTAGAGAAATTCCTCCGGTGAGCGAGGAAGAAGAGCGGAGTTACCCAACTCAACCAAATAGTCTGAACTAGGCTTAAACAAGAGTATGCAACTGTGGTTATGGGTCAGTGCGCGCGCGCTGCCTTCATTATGTAATTTCCCTCCATCACGCTCTGGAAGCATGCACTCAAGCCCCTAATTTCTCGTACGAGCCCATCCGTGTTTGCTCGATTCGTTCCAGTACCTACGCAATCTTTAAATTTTGGCGCGTGAACTCCAGTTCCGTACGAAAGTTCATTTCAAACCAGAGGGAAAGTGCGGTGTTTGATTTTCCGCAGTGCGCGGACTGCACCTGCATAATGTAATGGAGGCAGTGCGCCGCGCATCTGGCCCATAGAAAATAGATCACAGTTGCATACTCTTGTTTATAGACTCTTGGTACCAGTGTATTTGTTCGAATGTTTTTTTTTGTGCATCGGTTCTGATTTTGGTCACTTTTGGTGCTGTGTGATGCGCTTTTTTTAGGCAGCCCATCACGTTCAAAGTGAACTTTCGGGATTACCGGACACTTGGCAAAGGCGGCTTCGGCATTGTAAGTTGCTTACATTGGTGTTCACATGTGGGATCCGGTGTACCATTATGGTCTAGCCATGTATCCATCTTTTGTGACCTGTTTATTTTTTGCAAAAAGAATTCCAAGAGATCCTCTCCTTGTATAGAGGTTATGCGATAACGTCATGCCGCACAGCGCCCTTGAGCCAATGATGAACCCGCAACGTTTCGCGATGACTCGTTCGCATAGCCTCTATTTACTATGGTTGTGCAAGAAGGATGCATGCGAGCTTGATGCCAAGCTTCCCAAGTTGCCTGATAGTGACGAATACTGACTCAACCTTTCACTCTCGTGTTGAGTTAGTTTCTGAGGCCACCTTCTAAATGATAGTTATCTCTATCATCAACCTGCCCTTGACCAATGCAAGCGGCTGTTTGTACAGTCATGTACTAATACTAGTATTCCTCTGGTCTTGAGTTTTTGTTTGTTCGTTTGTTTGTTGCATTTTTTCTCCTTTTCCACTTGTGACATTGAGTTTTTGTGTGAATGCCTGTCTGCCAAAATGTCTTGTTGTTTCCTGTTTTCTGGCTGGTTTAGGTCAGTGCTTGCCAAAGCAAGGCAACCGGGAAAATGTATGCGATGAAAAAACTTGAGAAGAAGCGCGTCAAGAAGCACCGCGGAGAGCAACTTGCACTCAATGAAAAAGTCATCCTAGAAAAGCTGTCAAGTCGATTTGTGGTAGGTTTTATTCCTTCTCTCTAGTGCAGCAGTCAGACTGGATATTCCAGAGAGAAGCATGAGGGGATTATGGATAGAGGACTGTAAAAGCTCTGTTCCCTGGGTTTTGTAAGGTACAGCTTGTAGCAAATCTTCTTCAGATGATTTTTTTCAAAATGGACTTTAGCAGGTCATCCACCT